AAAAAAAAAAAAAAAAAACTTGTTTTATTGAGGAAAAAAGCTTTATCGGATTAGCAGCTCAGTTTGTGTAGATCTTTTTTCACAGTTGTTTGCAATAGTTTCAAAATTCTGCTACTAATAATAATGTGATGCTAATGTGCTAAAAGATTAAGTATTTCTATAAAGTATTAATATAAAGTATAACTTCACAAGATGCTCAACATTCATCAATTTAATTTTTTTTGGTATTTTTCATGCAGGAGTTATCATTAAATCACTACTTTATTCTTCTAATATTCTCATTAACAAAAAAATATATATCTTAACCTGGATATAATATTCATAGAGCTGCCCTGAAACCAAAAATACAAATTATCAATAAAATTGATTTATTGCCCCGCCCTACTGATCTGGTTTATCGTACCTTAGCTACAGCAGTCTGGCAGATCTTCCAGATTATTAGCCTCTCTCCACAAACCATCCAGGCCCAGCCACTCTCGTTCACCTTTACTGAGATCGGGTCGTCAGCTAGAAGAACCAGAAACAATTTAGAAAACAATAGTGGTGTAGATCAAGCATGGAGAAAAATAAAACTTTAATATTTCCCCTGTTTATTAGCACACCAAACTGAAAATGTGTATTTATTTCAGCATGTAAATGCATCAATGTTTTGTACATTTATTTGGTGAACTAATACAAAACTTAAAAACATTTTTGAGAGAGAAATTAAGAATAGTTCAAAGTAGAAATCGCAAAGTGACACATTAAAGTAATTAGCAAGAAATCTTAAATATCTCTAATTAACATTTAGAAATGTTAAAGCATAAATATCTGACATGTTCTGGCATTATTGTGACATTTAACAAATACAAATAATTTTAGTAATTCTAGCTGACATTAAAAAAAAAGTTTGGTCTGATTTCACTACAGACGGTGAGAAAAAAACAAGGTGTATGTAAACTTCTGGCTTTAACTATAGATAGAGCATTCCTGTTTCTTTCCCTCTAATCAGAGATGAGGCTTTTCTTACCTTCAGCCATGGTGAGTGCCTCCATCACTTTGACAGGCAGCGATGAACCAAATGTCTGAACGTCATAGTATACTGTCTCAGTGATGGTGTGGTTCTGCACTCGAGTGGGTGTCGACCTGACGAGGAGAGGTTACACACATCAGGACTGGATTTTTAGCATAATCAGCAAAATAATAACATAAAGTGTTAGTTTCTGATAAAATGTGAATTTTAACGATTTGCAGAGGACATAAGGAAAAGTGTTGACTGAGCTGGACCGCCATTTTTAACTAAAATGCAGCGCCAAAGTTTGAGATCTCTTGCATATTCCTTTGCTCTTGTGGAAAAACTTAATTTCCAAGCACTGTTTGATGAAATCACTCTATCAGGTTTATTTGTATACTGTGCACAATGCAGAGAGCTTGTAAGACAATCAATAATGAAGAAGTTCCGAATGAAAAGATCTATAGGCAGAGTCAACACATTGGTTTTATACCAAGGATAAGGGATCCATGCAGCTACAGAAAAAAAAAAACTCCCGACTTTGTGTGTGCATCCCAAACAGGTTCTTTTGGTGAGAGTTCACAAATATTTAATTTAACACGATCAGCAGATGTTAACACATTTCAATGTAGCTGCACAAATTTAACCAATTTCATAAGCAAGATCCACCAGATCATTTTTTAGAGATTTATTATTAGTAGCCCTGTAGCAATAAGCCACAGGGCTACTAATAATGAATAATAAATTTCCCAGGTCCCCTTTGAAAATGAGATCTGGATCTCAATGGGTTTTACCTGGTTAAATAAAGGAAATTAAAAAAAAGAAGCAATAACTCAATTTATAATATGATAAATCAAAACTAACTCAATAATTTCCATTTGCATGATTTGCTGTTGTTCACTTTTCTCTCATTCTACCAAAATCTGGGTGACAAAAGTCTTCAGTCTGGTGTTTTGGTCTCAATTGGCTCATTTTTTAAAGGACAATTTAAATTGCCTACCAGTTCCAGAGATAAATGTTCATTTGAATTTAAAGTTTATTGACATTTGGGAATGTGTTCTTGCATTATTACATCATTACTATTATATTACTTGAAAATGGTCTCAAAACAACAATTTTATCATTTATCGCAATAACGTCTGGAACAATTTATCGTCCAGAAAAAAAATTGTTATCGTGAACGGCGTACTTGTTAGTCCTCTGCATTAGTATTCTAAAATGGCTGCAAAAGCCAATGATTTTATACGGTAAACTTTAATATGCATAAATGCCAAAATTCCAGCAAAAAACAAAAAAGGCTTTTATAGTGTTTTAAAAGCAGGCAACTCTATATGATTGCATGTGCTTTTTGTTTACTCAATTTCCGTTGGGAACAAAGACATATAAGTGTGTTTTTTTCACTTTAAAGAGGAAATATAAAACTACAACAAAGCCTGTGTTCAGTGTGCGTCCACTCACCTCGCCGTCATAGGCGTCCTGCGCGGGGAAAACATAAGCCCACCACCCGACCCAGAGACGCTCTTTCTCCCGGTAGCTCTGCTCTGCTGCCTGCGGCCAGAGCCCGGGGCGGTGCGGGGGCTAAACATGCCTGCGCCTGGACTCCGAACTGTTCAATAGTTTATAAAGAGCTCCGATTATCAACACACAAAACAGCACACCGAATAAATCCACACCAAACGGTGGAAATGATCAATTTAACTGCTACTCAACACAGCACTCTCCAAACAACGCGCGGTTAAGTCGCGATGATTGAACGTCATCACTCAACAACCACGTGACCAGAAAAGAACTCCTTATATTATGTCTATGCAAATCATCACAGAGAGCCCTCTAGTGGCCGTGGAAGGAGTTGATTTCTCGCAACAGAGAATGTAGTCATCTAAACAAACTAGAATACCATTAAAAATGTTGTTGCAATACGTGTTTTTTTAAATAAATAAATTCGTGCTCTTTGCGTCATTACACGTTTCAAATATAATCGAAAAATTAACTTAATTGAGTAATTCAATTTAAAAGTACAGCTGGAAGTCAGACACAGTGTCTCAAGTGTTTATTTCTGTTTAAAAGTTTGTTTAAAAGTTAATTTATAATAATTCATTCAATACGAATTTTCAGCGACTGAAAAGTGCTGAAAAGTAGAATATATGTCGCGTTTATAAACTTTTTGGAGATAATGCGCTGTTTAACAGTCCAGACTGTAGGTGGCAGTAATGCGCTATTACGCGAGTTCGCTAACTGTCACCTAGTTTAAAAGAAGATAATCCATGATGGCGCGGCAATGAACGGTAGAAATATTCGTTCAGTTAGAGTCTGGATTAAACTAGACCGCCTTACATATGTGATCTGACGGCTGAGGATAATACGACAAAATGCAGTGAGTAAATGTTTTGCTGCCTGCAATGGCTCAGAATGAAACATATTCCCATGAAAAGCCTTTTCCGTTAGCCCCGCTGCTAACGGAGCTAAATTAGCCGATTAGCTCCATCAAACGATCTGACAGCGTCGCGTCTCAGAAGTATCAAGACTTTTTGATTTTTCAAAGTAAAATAAAAGGCAAAATAACGGTTTTGCACATCACAAACAGGGTATTTTGCCATTAGTGTAGAATATTTTAGTCCCGGTTTGAATAGTTTAGATATTCTAGTTTCTAAATTGGAGGAGTTTTTAGGAAAACTAAAAATGTGACTTAAATTTAATCAGGTTTGTATTTTTAAGTGAAAGCAGTTTTTTAGTATAAGACATGCGTTATCATACAAAACACACATTTATCTTGTCAAATTCTTCCAATAAAAATGCAAAAACAACACAAAATTAAAGTTTTATTATAAGGTGTTCATAAATGGGACTTTCCTACCAAACTGAAGTACGTTTAAAAGATCATCAAAAGCTAAACATTCAGGAACAAATTAGATCAGTGTGCAAAGAGTTACAAAGTCATTTCTCAGAGACTTTATCCACAAATGGGGAAAACACTAAACAGTCTGAAGCCAAAAAATCCCACAACATGCAATTAACTTTAGCCCTCACTTGCTTCAGTTAAGGTCAGAGGTCATGCCACCACCATAAGAAAGGTGAAACGTATCACAGTCTCGGATGTCTTGTGTACAGTAAACTTTCCTCATCCTGCCAGTCTCCTTCACTGCTTTATTTTTTTCAAAGATTTTTGTGCTACATGTTTGTTTTTATTACAAAGTCCTTCAGTAATAAATGTAAATCTCCTGTTTCCAACGATGCACAGAGCCCAGCAGACATTTACGCTTTCCAACCATGAAACACAGTTTTATATGATCTCTTTGGGCCATTTTAAAATGTTTTTATTTCATGAGATACAGTGCTTTTTCAAATCTTGTCCTCAATCTTATCGATTATTCAAATCTTTTGTTTTTTGAAA